CTTAAACAAGACTTACATATGTCCTGGCCACAATATTCTTTTTCCTTCTCCCTGGGAAGCCAGGATGCTTATGCAGAACTCTGCTCTGCCACACCACAGCACAAGGCTGCCACCTACAGAATCATTTAATCCATTCAGCACCACCCAGGGACAGTGAGAATCAGCCTAAAACAAATGCTGCCTTTTGCAGATCTGACAAAGGAGCCTCTGGTAATTAATACATTTTGCCTGGACACACAGGTTTAGTTCTCTGTTTGGGAAATACACTGATGACTGCTAAAACAGGGACACCAAGAGCCAGAATACGTGCTTCAGTTCTCGCCACTTGAGTAAACAACTACGGTTTGAAAAGCATTACAAACAACAGGACATTTTATGCACAACANCTTGAGTAAACAACTACGGTTTGAAAAGCATTACAAACAACAGGACATTTTATGCACAACAACTTTTTTTTTTTAACTGTGCTTCTTGCTTTATCGCAGAGATAGGCAGACAGACATAAAGTGGCAAATGCACTGGAAGTCAAATGATATTCCTAACTTTCCATAGGACAGTCTGTCCTTGAAGTATGTAATTGCCCAACTGTTAAAATCATGAAACACTCAAAGCCAATCCACTTAGAATCTGTTCTAAGTTAGTTTCTCCTTTTCCATTCCACCCTTAAGAATGATCATTTGACTCTGGAACAAACGGCTAATCCACCACTGATTAGAGCTCACTCCAGTGATTCTCCTTTCATTACCACTTCCATAAGTGAGAGGTACAAACCATCCATCGGTCATGAGAAAATGCAAAGGATAAATAGCCTTTACTGGGACCGCTCATTTCAACCATCACTGACTGGTCATCTCTTGTGAAGGACAAGAAGACACAAGCGCTCTCCTCTGGGTCACAGTTCAAAGGACTCCTAATACAGAACTTCTTGTTCCCACAGTCCGAAGCATTGAACTAGAAAAATGACAAGATGACGGGGGGAGAAAAGTCTTAATTATCAAACAAGCAGTTCATTGTCAATGACAGAAGAGCCACTACCTGAAAATACAGGTTTTAATGAGAATACCTTTTCATAATAAGAATTCAAATAAGGCAACAAAAAGTACATCTAGGTTGTGAACTTTTAAACTTAATTAATTTTAATTAAAATTTGGAAAACATAACACTAGTGGGACTGTAATTGTGCAAGAGTATTAAAGCTCCTTTAATACACAAAACATTTCACATTAAGTATGTTCTGAAGCAAAGTTTCTGGTAACTTGTGAGAAACTTCCTAGGGAATATTTAAGCCCGTATTGACATCCTTGCCTAAAGGGTATCCTCTAGCTTTCAGAGATGGAATTTTTAAAAGCAAACAATCAAAGACTTATCAAGTTTTGGTTTTTTTTTTTTTTCCTTTTTGTCTTTTTTCGTGTCCGGCAATGGACCGCAACCCTCAGTGTCGCGCCCGCACCGGACCGGGACCGGCAACGGGACCGCAACCCTCGGTGCTACGCCCGCCCCTCGCTCAGCCAGTGAGCGGGAACTGGTCTGTATGTGGGATCCGAACCCTCGGCGGGAGCGCTGCCACACTCCCAAGCGGCGCACTGTAGCAGGGCGCCACTAGGCCGGCCCAAAGACTTATCAAGTTTTTATATTTAGATCTGGGAATCTACTTCTAGAATTCAGGTTCAAATTTGATTTTAAAATCATATTAAGAAAAAAGTTACCCCAAAATATACCACCATTCCAAATAATAGTAATAATTTAGACGAGAGAGAAACAAACAACAACCTACAACAACCAACGCCTCTTGGTTTGGCATAGAAGAGAAAGAGCTTCAAAAAACATCAGCTCTGCAATTTGACAGAGCAAATCGGCAGACCTTGTTAGAATGGCTGTGACCCTACATCTCAAAAGAGAGCTAAACATTAACTTTATGTAACTAGATGTAATGGGAACTTAAAGACAAACCATCATAGGGTGAAGAGAACAAGCCACTAGGAACTAGGAAACTTGGACTTTGGTCTCTGCTTTCTCCTTTACTCAGCCACATTTGCCAAATTTATTCTCCCAGGGTCCCTTAACCTTCAACTATACAACAAGGAAACTGAATGAAATAGACTCTGTGGTCTCTTTTAGCTCTAAAAACGCTATAATCCCTTGACTCTGGATGAACTTCCCTATAATTAGAGATTATAAACTTGGCACAGAGACATAATAAAAGCTCCAGGTCTGGCCGGTAAGTTCAGTTGGTTAGAGCGCAGCCTTATCACATGGAGGTCATGAGTTCAGATCCTGACACCAGCCAGCTGCCAACAAAAAAAAGCTCCAACAAGCACTAATACCTTTCATGTGAATATATGGAAAGAAAACAATATTGTCAACAGATTTCTACCAGGAAGCTCATGTCTAAACTGACTATTCCTCTAAAGCAGCTTTTAAATAAATAAGCACTAAAACTAAATTGAGAGCTAGTACAAATAATAGATCTAGTTTAGGGTCGAACAAAAGTGCAACATTCGTAATAACGCAATCAAATATAATGTTCATCTATTACAAAATGTAGAAGAGAAGGAAGACAAAGTAAGACATTACGTAGGAGTAAAGTGTTTTACTTAGTCTCGTCTATGTGAACAAAGAGGTATAAAAGGACAAGAAAGAGATGGAAAGAGAAAAGGAACTAACATTTACTGAATATCTATTAAGCTCAAGGCACAGTTAGAAAACTTACATTCATTATTTTGTTTAATTCCTACAGTGATCCTAAGAGCTCGATATTCCTATTTCTCTTTCTATAGATAAAGAAACTGAGACTTTGAAAATTAAGTGATCTGTCCAAAGACACACAGAAATTAGAAAAGTCATTGTTCAGGCCCAGGCTTGTTCTTTCAATTGTAACAACTGCCTCAAGACATTTTTCACTATATCCACTTCTGAATTATGAAGTCTAATTTATCAGAATTTCCTTCAGTAAAACTCTTCTTCCTAATGTTTCTAATGTGCATTACCCTTTCCAAGATGTGTTTTTTTTAATCATAATTCTTTCAAATCAGAGGCCCTAAATGGAATTCTAGCTGATGAGCTTGCAAGAGATTTTCTGTGGTTCAGCACATAGAATTCCACAGTAGTCTTTGACCTTAAGGAAATGAGATCTAAAAGTTATATCATCACTTCAAGAATCTCCTCCAAACCCTGTCTAAATTTAGCTTAAGTTCCCTCTCCGTGTTTGATATTTGACATGAAGAAGGGGGAGGAGGAGGAGGAGGAGAAGGAGGACAAAGCAAGCAAACAAGAAGCTACCGCTTCATTAGATTTATTTTCAAATGGAAACATATCCACTGCTAGTAAAGACTACATGTGAATGTCACAGCCACACCTTGAACATGCAGGGTCTCGCATTCCCTTCATTCCAACCTATAAGTCATAACATCGCAATGAAGACTTCCTTCAGACTCCTACAGAGAACCCAAAAACTTGCTACCACAACCCAGTCCAGCTACGTCTCTACACACGTTGCCAAGCACAGAGCCACAATTTCCACCCACAAATGTACCTCTTTGTCCACATACAGAAGACTAAGTAAAGCACTTTACTCCTATGTAATACTTTATTTCATTTTCCTTCTTGCCTACAATTTATAATATATGAAGATTTGGTTTCATGTCATTGTAGATTGCATTTGGTGAAGTAATAAAATTGTGACTTACTGATTTGGTTAAATGGGAGACTGGATGTAACGTTGACAAAGGTACTATTGAGGCTTCGGGTGTTGTAAAAGGAAGTGCATTTGGTTGTGAAATTATAGGACCAGGAATCTTCACCCAGTAGATTTTATACTTCTCCACAACTGTGACTCTGAAATGCAGTACCAGTGAGATCAGAACCCTGACTGTGGCCCACAGCAATCGAAACAAAACATTATAGGGAAAAAAAATGAACTAGGAACATACAACTTCTTAGTACTTAACAGTCCTCTAATTTTATCTGAGGCAAAGATCTAATGACTGTCTTCCACCCCATCACTATTGTTTTCTCTCCCTCTGTCCCTCTTTTCTAACCTGACTATTCTTTGGGCATATTCACAAGATCCATGAATGCCTGACCCAGGGACAGATTTCTACTCCTGACATACAAAGAACATACTACTACTCATTTCATAGTGCACTGTTCAAATTCTTCCACAGGGCATGTGCACCAGGCAGCAATTGCAAGAAGCTGTATAAAGGTTGCATAAGCAACCATCAGCTCTTACTGGGGTCTTATCCCCTTCTTCACATTCTACTTAACACACAGGTGCAAAGCTGTGTACCTAGGAGCTGGGAACCTGTCCACAAGTGAAGCAGAAAATAGAGACATCACAGGACAGCAATTCTTCCCTTAAAATATATGTGTACAGCACCACTCAGGAATCATTTTATGGCTTTATGACCAATCCCTTGCATATAGGATTAAGGAAGAAGTATTATTTTAATTCTATTGAGTTTCATAATTCTGAGGGTCTTACTTTTCTGACAACCTAATCTTCAAATTGTAACATTGCGAAGAAGTCATCCAAATTTCAGGACTGTTTTATTTGTATTTTCATACTAATAAGAGCAAATCTAAAAAAAAAGTATTGCCACATACACCATATAAACTCAAGCACTAATCAATGGCCCTTATTAGTATTAAAGTAGTGCAATACTCCATTTACTCAACAAATGTCTACTAAGTGCCTATTAGGTGCCAGATCCTGTGCTAGGTGATGGATATATACTAGCAGAAAAAACAAACAAAAAAGCAAAACAACCTCCCACATCAGTAGGGTGGTGTCATTACTATACCAAACCTCTCCTATACAGGTGAATGTCTAATAGGTATGGAAATGATACAGACAATTATGGTTTCAGTTACACTAGTTACAGAGTTGTAATCTCTTCTACTCACAGAAACTGAACATGATTTGGGGCACCACTTGGAGCATTCCAGTAGACCTTAATTTCTGTTTTTTTGGATGAACTTGTGTGACTCACAGCTGATCCCTGAAATAAAATGGAAAAGATCTACCATTCAGTCACTCAATAGCTCAGCATTCTGCAAAGTAATTTATCATTGCATGACCTTGGCATTCTGGAAAGACTATTTTATTTAGAACAAGGACTCAGGTACTCAGTAAATACATGCTGATTGGTTGACAACAGATTAGCAGCTGGCTTTGTCAATAAATTAGCGTCAACAGAAACTTAAGAACTGAAGAGAGTCATGAACACTGGGTGTTAATGTGGTGTAGAGCCTGCTCATTATTTCATTTATGCTATAAATTTATATTCCTTCCATTAATAGACACAAATAGAGTGCAGAAGATTTATCAAAAGAAAAAAGAAAAACCTCCTGCTTCCATAGTATGTTAGTAATTCCTTTCCCTTGAACAATCTTTTTTTTTTTTTTCTTTTTCCGTGTCCGGCAACGGATCGCAACCCTCAGTGTTGCCCCCGTACTGGACCGGGGACCGGCAACGGGATTGCAACCCTCGGCGCCGATCCCGCGCCTTGCTCAACCAGTGAGCGGGAACCGGTCTGTATGTGGGATCCGAACCCTCGGGCGGGAGCGCCGCTGCGCTTCCCAAGCAGTGCACTATCCAGTGCGCCACCGGGCCAGCCCTCCCTCGAACAATCTTGTTTCCCACTTCCATTCCCCTGGCAAATACTTACTCATTCTTTGAGGCCTAGCTTGGAGATCACTTCCTCCAAGAAGCTCTCTCTCAATTCCCTCCAGCCTGTGTGCTTTCTCACTCTCTCACTCACCTGCATATACTGCTAACCTAAGTTATCACATTGTTCTACTTCTGTGTCTGTCCTGTGTCCATACACTCTACAGATGTATAAAGCTTTGAGTTCTTCAAGGAACAAGAGTAAGTCTTGCTCCTCACCATATCCCTTGCACCTAGGACAGTTCCTGGTATAACAAAAGTTCATTAAATGAATAAATGACAAAAATTAGACCTCGGTTCCACTCTAGAGCTCTATCTTCAATATTGAAACTCTTCAAAAAGCAATATAATTAGAATCAATATGATATAAAACATCACAAGCTATAAACTCTTCCATCTACTGCCCCACCTTTTCTAAGATGTTGCTGTGTAAAAACATATTGCAAGCAGTAAAATTAGAGGGAAAGGTTGATCACTGTGAATCTATTTAGATGTCTACAGTACATGGGTAATGTCATCCTTTACATTGTAACCACCACCCTGTAGTGAAAAGATCCAAGGAAACTGACAGAAATCGATTTCAAACTAAACACAAACCTGTATATCTTCACAGGTCAGAAGTTGTGACACTTGACTGTCGTTCAACGTAAAGGGGCCAATAGGAAGGCCACTCAAATCCTCAGCATTACGAGCTTCTAAAAGAAAGCCTTTAAATGGTGGTCCTGACAAAGTAACTGAGAAACAGACAAAAAGATAGGTTAAAAGATTTAGCAACATTCCAAAAAGGAACGTCTAGAGAAGTGTTTAGAAGAGACACATCACAGAATAGGGTGTGCGTATGCAAAACTATTCCTGGAGAGAAAAGAGTAGAAATCATCCTATAAACAAAGAAGTTCTAAACTGTCCCATAGGACATTCACTCTGTGAAATGTTAACAGCCATTTCACAGAGGGGAAAAAAGGTAAGTGATGGTCAGGGGGCAATCCATAGGACTAAATTAGTTTGGAAAATACTAGATGAAAGTAAATAATTGTTTCTTTACTGCAAATCTCTTAAGATATTTAATATCTTACTATGCAGTGTGGAATTCTAAGAGGTATATTATGCCAGTATATAACACACTGAGTATTTCAAACTTATTTTTCCATACACCCTTTTTGTTAGAGAGTACCTATTAATATTTTGCATTTCTACAGCTGAAGCAAATAGAATTTGCAAACTGCTGTTATAAGAACAACTTTAACAGTCAGCCTACATTTTGCCAGAAGAGCCAGGAAAACATAAGAAATTATACTATATCAAGACGGACAAAGATTTATTATATTTTAAACAAGATAAACTTTATTTTCCTCTTCTATTGTATTAGTAGTGCTATTAATAAAGATAAATTAAATAATGATAAAAACTTACTTTAAAACCTGTTCTGAATGAAAAGTAAATACACTACTTAAGTAATATAATTATCTGTAGTAGTTAAACAAAAAAATGGGAAGGATAAGATAATGGTATCTTACAAAAACAGGTAAACAGATTTAAATGAAATAGTCCAAATCCGATAATAATAAAGATTCGATGAACAGTAAAAAAGTGAAACTCAAACTGTAGATGGTTCATCCCAGCACAGTACCTGCGATCTGATCTCCTGGTCTGAATGTGTTCTGACTCACTGCAATCCTGTGAACAGGATTAGACTGCGGACTATGACCATGTTCAGGAACCATTCCATGGCATGACCCTGTTACTTTTCCATTGGGATAATTGGCCACAGAACTAATGTGCAACAGAAATATGAAGACATCAAGGGTAAATCCAGGAACCGCCATCTCGAAAAAGAAGATTGAAAGCATGTTATTTTCAGACATAATTAGAGTAAAATATAAAAGCTTTCATACCACAAAAGAGTAATTCTAGATAATAACTTCTTTTCAACATTCAGTTCTCTGTATTCCCAAAATACATAATAAAAAGAACTGGATATGTAAAGTCCGACCCGGATTTGAATTTCAGCTCTACCAATTACCCGCTGTGAGACTATGGGCAAATCACTTAACCTCTACTTCATTATCTGAAAAATGAGGAAACAAAGACTCTTTCTCAAAGTTATTTTAATAAAATGAAGATACGGCCCAAAGTCTGACAAGGAAGATAATAAATAATAGCTTTCATTAGTAGGATTAAGAAATAATAAAATAAAAGCAATACGGTTTTAGTCCACTTCAGCCTAAAAGGCCTAAAAATCAAATAAGAAATGTTTCTTCTGGATTTAAATATCACCACCTGCACAAATCTCTGATATGACTTTTCCCGGCTTCCCATTAAACTAATCATGATGACAGGGAGGATAATCTAATTTACAATTCTGAAAATTGAGGATAACAGACAACTAATTGCAACAGACAATACGGTCAGGTAAGAACAGGGATGCATTCTGAGAAACACCATTAGGCAATTTCATAGTTGTGCAAAATCATAAAGTGTAGTTACACAAACCTAGATGGTATAACCTGCTACAAACCCAGGCTGTATGGTATAACTTACTGCTTCTACACGAGCAATGGATTGCACTATGACTTTATGGTGGCTATGACATCACCATGCTTAGGAATTTTTCAGCTCCATCATAATCTTATGGGACCATTACTGTATATGTGCTCATCATTAACCAAAACATTATGCAACCCATGACTGTATTTCTATTGCATGCATAGACCAGATACTTCCAGATTAAGAAACACAATTATCAGCCCATGCAATCCTCCTCCATCTTCTTTTTACCCCACTTGGGTAATAGAAAATCAGCTACTTTTCATCAGTCCCACCCTCTTCTAGCCCAGATCAATCCCTTTACTTCATGCATATATTCAGAACCTGCAAATCACAGTATTCAACAAGGCTGGAGGTAGATGGGCAGAAACATGTTACATGTAAATAAAGTTAACACCGTGGACAGGCTGCACGTGGGAAGAGCCCAAGAAGCAGTTCATTCTCCATAGAAATGGAGTTTTCTATATCACATTTATTTTGTCACAGACAAAATAATAGCAGCCTTGGAATCACTGGAACAAATTATCATTTTATAGTTAACGTAAATCAGAAGAAACTATTTAACCAGAGCCTAACCTGCTAGGGTTTTCTCAGAGCCTAACCGACCTGGAGGAAGGGCAGCACCCAACTCCAACCCACTTTAGCCATCCTGTCCCGCCTGAGGGAGGAAAAACTGAGAAGCAGTTGTGAAGTTCACACTCCAGGGGCACAGGGGCACTAAAAGACTGAGACCTACTCATAAGACTGTATAGAACATTTCTCCTCTCCCCACTCCATACCACCACATTACTAAAGGCCTATTTATGAGAGCTCCTTTTAACCAACGCCTCATGTCCAGCTATTGAGAAAAAGTTACAAGGTATACTAAAAGGCAAAGGAAGGGTGAATTCACTCTCTCTTCTTGAGCTGGGACATCCATCTTCTCCTGCTCTCAGACATCAGGGCTCCCGGTTCTCAGGCCTTCAGACTCCAGGAATAGCACTAGTAGTCTCCCCATCCTCATCCCACCCCCCTCACCCTATTCTTAGGCCTTTGGACTCAACTGAGAGTTGCACTGTCTGCTCCTCTGGTTCTTAGGCCTTCAGACTTAGACTGAATTACACCACAAGAATTCCTGGTTCTCCAGCTTGTAGACAGCAGACTGTGGGACTTCCAGGCCTCCATAATTACATGAGCCAATTCCCATAATAAATATATAAAATATAAACAAGTAAAATCCTATTTGGTTCCATTACTCTAGACAACCTGACTAACAAAGCACATCATTTTCAAACTACAGAAAATCGAAGATAAAGAAAAAACCTTGGGGGCCGGCCTGTGGCTCACTCGGTAGAGTGCGGTGCTGATAACACCAAGGCCCCAGGTTCGGATCCCATATAGGGATGGCCGGTTCGCTCACTGGCTGAGCGTGGTGCTGACAACACCAAGTCGAGGGTTAAGATCCCCTTACCGGTCATCTTTTAAAAAAAAAAAAAAAAAGAAAAAACCTTGGAAGAAGCCAGAAGAAAAAACACCTTACTTATAGAGAAACAAAGATAAGAATTATATCCAGCTTTTTCTCAGAAACCACACAAGCAAGAAGAAAGTGGAGTGAAATATTTGAAGTGCTGAGAGAAAAAAAAACCTAGAATTTTGTACGTTGAGAAATTATCCCTCAAAAGTGAAGAAGAAATAAAGACTTCCTCAGACAAGCAAAAACTTGAGGAAATCTATTGCAAGTAAATTTGTCTTACAAGAAATGTTAAAAAAAATTTTTAGAAGAAAAATTATAAAAGTCAGAAACTCAGATCTACATAATGAAAGGAAGAGCACTGGAGGAGGAATAAGTGAGGATAAGACAAAATCTTATTTTTTTTATTCTTAATTGATCTAACTCACAACAGTTTGTTCAATATAATGACAATTACAATGTATTCAATTTCTACGCTTATATGCTTATGTATGTATGCTTCTGTATTAGCAAAATGAATGACGGCAATGAAACAAGAAATGGGAGGAAGGAATTAGGCTTATTTGTTATTACAAGACACTCCACCTAAGAATCTCTACTTGGAGATTAAACAAAATACTTCTGAATAACACATGGGTCAAAGAAGAAGCATCAAGAGTACTTATTAAAAGCACTTAGAACTAGGGCCAGCCCGGTGGCGCACTGCTACAGTGCGCCGCTTGAGAGCACAGTGGCGCTCCCACCGAAGGTTCGGATCCCACATACAGACCGGCCGCTCACTGGCTGAGCGAGGTGCGGGCGCAACACCGAGGGTTGCGATCCCATTGCCGGTCCCGGTCCGGTACGGGTGTGACACTGAGGGTTGCGATCCGTTGCCGGTCATGAAAAAAGAAAAAAGGAAAAAAAAAAAAAAAAGCACTTAGAACTAAATTAAGATGAAAACACAACTTATCAAAATTTATGGGGTGCAGCAAAAGCAGTGCTTAGAGGGAAATGTACAGCACTGAATGCATATATAGTTATGTAACCAAACTCCACACTGGACCAGAGCTAAACTACAGAATTCCTGCTAAACTCCAGAAACTGTGCTGGGGTATGCACACTTCAGATAGTCCTACACATGATATCAGGAGCTACCAAGCAGATAGCATAGGGTCTGACATTACTATATACTCAACTTTTATCAAACATCAAAGCTAGGCAGAATTCTTCTCATTTAAGAATGAGCAAAAGGAACAAATGAACCAATCAAGAGCTTCTAAAAAAAATCTACAGCATGAGAGAGGCACAGATTTTTCTGCAGACACAGAGGAAAAGTATAACTTTGAAAATAGTTGAGGCTGGTCTGAAGGTAGAGAGATATCTCAATTGATTGTTCACAGTCAATTACAGATCGAACTCCTTCTTCTACTCTTTTCCCCCTTCTGCACTTGACTAGTCTTAAAAGAAAAAGAAAATTGTAAATTACTGCAGGAAACAGAATATTTAAGAAAATAACTGCTAAAGAGCACAGCAGTAAGGGAAATTTTCTATTGAAACCTGGTTTCCTAGCCCTTTTGTTAGGTGCAGACCTGTTGTTAGGACCATGGTCACAGCTTAAACCATGTGAACTTGGCCAAGTTATCATGAATATTAAACGCAGTAATGTGCCACTCATCTAATGGATGGGATAGTGGGAAGAGTTAGTTCAGTTTAACAAATATTTATTTGGCGCTGACTTTGTCTCAGGTGACAGTGGAAACAAGACTTGATGTCTAGTCTCTGCTATGTAATAAGTAGCTGAATAACATCAACCAAATCACTTACTCTCTGTAAGTCGCAGTCTCACCATTTGCAAAATGTAGCATGAGAACCAGAAGAAATTCAAGGCCACCTACAACTCTAAAATTTTATAATTTTAGGAAAGCAAAGTGGAAAAGAACATTGGGAATTATTCGAACACGAAGTGTAAGACAGGAAGGGAAGTGACTAAGACACCACCACCCTCATTCATTAGGAAAATATAACAAACAAAGTCAGAGAGGGAAGTAAGCAAGGGCAACTTCTTTGTCTTTTGTCAAAAGCTGACTGTTGAAGGTAAAGGTCTATTTCCATTACAATAGCTAGTAATGGTTTTCCAAACGATGGTTTAAGGAGCAACTTTTTTTCAAACTAATACATTAAGCCATTAGCCAACCCATACGAACAGATCACATAATTATGACAGGAAAAAGAACAGGAGTTACTCACCTTCATATTTAAGCTGATATTATGGAATGTCAATAGTAAGCTATTATATTATGAGGTCATTCTGCAAGCACAGAAAAAACCTCCTACTGATTATGAATTTTTTAAAAATTGTTAATATTCACATTCCACTGTGTATACAATATGAGAATAAAACAAAAGAGGTCATAATTTACATTTTGTCAGCTCAGGACAAAGATAGGCCTGTAAGTTTAAAATATTAAAAGAGAGCTTATCTTGTTTCTGTAACTGAAATATTTCCAAACCTGATAAGATTTACACAATTTTCTTTCTTGCCTGAAAGACAGTTGCTTAGTAAAATGGCATAATGACTGCTTACACCATGCTCTACATACATCTCACATAAACATGAAACTTCAAAACAACTGTATTCTTTATTATGTAAATACAAAATTCTCGTGCTTAGATGAACATGTAATTATTATTGTGACTGTGGGCCACAGAGGCAAGTGAATTTGTTTTGGTTTTTTTTTTTTTTGTCTTTTTTACTGACCGGTAACGGGATCGCAACCCTCGGTGTCGCGCCTGTACCGGGGACCGACAACGGGATCACAACCCTCAGTGTTGCACCCGCACCGCGCTCAGCCAGTGAGCGGGAACCGGTCTCCACATGGGATCCGAACCCTCGGTGGGAGCGGGGCGCACTTCTCCAGTGCGCCACAGGGCCGGCCCGAGGCAAGTGAATTTGATCAGGACAATATATTTATTACAACAAATAAAATTCAGATAAAATAAGAAGAATCCAGTTGAAAAGATATTTAGATGTAAGAAACGATAACTTCGTATAATGTATGCTATACGAAGTTATTACGCCCTCGGTGTT